TAACACCACCAATTACATCAACTATAAATACTCAAGAGGACCCATCATCTTCATCATCTTCAAGTGAAGGATCAAGAAAAGATGTACCATGCTTCAGAAGTTTATAAGAAAGTTATGAGGTAATTGAGAATCAAGACAATCTCACTCTCTTTTACCTCTTTATCGATTGTGAACCTATAAATTTTCAAGAAGTCGTGCAAAGTAAGAATTGGAAGGATACAATGGTTGAAGAAATCATGGCAATCAAGAAGAATGATACATAGGAACTAGTTGCACTTCTAATAGGTCACAAAATAATTGGTGTAAAGTGGGTGTACAAAGCCAAAAAGAATGCTAAAGGAGAAGTCAAGAAATATAAAGCAAGAATAGTGGCAAAAGATTAAAGCCAAATAGCTGGCATCGACTATGATGAGGTATTTGCTCCTATTGCTCGACTTGAAATTATAAGACTAATCATTTCTTTAGCAGCTCAAATAGTTGGGAGCCACATGATGATCACTATAACTTCTTTAAGGATGAAAAAGTTGAGCAGCCAAGGATGGATAAAGAAAGAGATAAGCCCATAACACCACCAACTACATCAACTATAAATACTCAATCATCTTCATCATCTTCAAGTGAAGGATCAAGCAAAAATGTACCACGCTTCAAAAGTTTATAAGAAATTTATGAGGTAACTGAGAATCAAGACAATCTCACTCTCTTTTATCTCTTTACTGATTGTGAACCTATAAATTTTTAAGAAGTCATACAAAGTAAGAATAGGAAGGATACAATGGTTGAAGAAATCAAGGCAATCGAGAAAAATGATACATGGGAACTAGTTGCACTTTTAATAGGACACAAAATAACTACACTTTCAACTATGCAACTTGGTTAGCTTATCTCAGTTTCTCAGCATTCAAACAACCCAACCCTACTAGATATTGCTTAAACCAATCTAAGTATGCTTTGGATATCATCCATCGGGCAGCTCTTGACAACTATAAGCTAGTTGTCACTCCTTTTCTCTTAAACCTGTAATAGATGAAGTTTCTATCTTGTTGCTTGACAACCCGGAATTGTATCGGCATTTAGTTGGTTCTTTACAATACTTAACCATAACCAGACCAGACTTATCGGTTGCTGTTAACAAATTATGTTATTTCATGCATACTCCCCTTTGGCATCATTTTTAAGCACTTAAACATTTACTTTGATATCTATAAGGCACAATAGATTTCGTTCTGCCCATCAGTTCTACCTCCCCTACATTGCGTTCCTATGATGACTTTGATTGTGCCGAAGATCCCTTGAAAGGAAATCCACTAGTTACTATTTATTTCTGGGAGATACAATTATTTCTTGGTGTGTAAAAAAGTAACATACAATTGCTTGCTTGTCCGACAAAGCTGAATACCGAGTGTAAGTTATAGTAGCTACCGACATCATTTGGATTTGTCGTCTCTTAACTGGTTTTTAGTTCTCACTTTTAGATCCAACACCGTTATATTATGATAATGTCTAAGTGATTGTACTAGCTCACAATCCTATTTTCAAGTTTGGACTAAACACATTGAGATGGACTACAATTTTATTTGAGACTACATCAAATCTAATGCAATTACTCTACATCATATCAACACCTAGGATCGAATTGCTGTTATATTCACCAAAGTTATTCCTAAACTTCGATGTATTGATCTTCGTGCCAAGCTATTACTATGTCCATGACCATTAGCTTATGGGGGTCTGTTAACATATTCCAGTAATAAGTAGAACATCTGCTATGGCGTCACTACCTCTGAGAGCGCAACATTACCTGCGGCAGTAATAAACTCTGGTAGCGAATGATTCACCTCGATTCAGCTCTCTTAGTTCTATATAAATACATTGTACTATTTATCATTCGTAATATGTATTACACCAATTTTTTTCCTCATCTTCTAGCTTTTATTTCATGCAATAAGCTTTTCTACAAGTTCAGGGATCATCGAAATTTATAGAGAGAGCGAGACGTAAGAGAGATATGTACTTTTCTCCCAAATTTTCTTTATGAATTTCTTAGTGTGGAGTGGCTCCGTGATTTTTTCCATGTTTTGAAATTTTTCACATTTCAGATTTTCCCACATAAAATCCTGTTGTACTTTCTTTTCAATGCTTTTTCTGCTTATTGTTTGTGTTCACTATGTGGTTTACTTTCTCAAAAATCTGACTGCTAGTTATTACAGACAATGGAAGAGATTTTGTTCGGGTGCGCCCAAAATTAATTTTTGTAGTTTACAACTAGCTTTTGCCTCGAGATTCGTGCCCGATCAAGCTAATTTTGTGATGCCGTATCACTAACTGCAAGTTATTACAGACAATAGAAGGGAAGGCTTTTTTTATTTTGCCTTTGATTTCTTTTTATTATGGACTAAATAACTTATTGTGTTCATCTAAAGAGTTTTAGGGCAAAATTACTTTCAGCTGCTGGATCTATACAATTTTCTTCCATAAGCAAGTCGAGCCATGGTAGATCGATTAGCTGTTTCTTTGAATTGCCTGATCAAAGTGAATGAGAAAAAAAGGTGAGGTTGGGATGAAGCGAGGGGGAAGGGGAGATGATCAGCTAGTATTAAGAGAATAAGGGTGTTGAAGAAGCTAAGCGAAGACAAAAAAGAGTTAAATTTGGAAGAGTTTTAGTTGACCAATTGAAGTTGGACTGCATTCCTTCGAGATAATATGGAAGATGAATATAGTTAATAATAATGAAGAAAATTAATTCATTGTATATAGAAAGAAAGAAGGGAAAGGGATGAAAGTGACTAATGAATTTCTATAGCATAATTGTGTGGCAGTGGAATTCTGAGCTGGATAAAAGAAAGTGAAGGGAGTGAGTAAAGGCTCCTTTATTAATTTAACTAGACTTGGTTTTTGCTATTGCTATCAGTGCAGACTAACGCTTTGTGTTTTCTTTGGGAAAAGCAAAATGGACCACTAATTATTCTCATTTTGTTTCAACATCAAAATTTTTTTTGTCACATTTGAGCCATTAAGATAAATTTACTCACATATTAAATACATTAATTTTGAACTTAAGATCTCTTAATTAATAACTAAAGTCCTGATAAACAGACCAAAATGAGCTATATTTCCAAGCCAAATGATTGCAGAAGTTATTGCAGACTCAACCTGTGCTACGAATTTTGGTATGAACCTGTTTCAAGGTACTGCTATAATTATTTGCTGTAATTTCAACTCATAAAAGTTTATTGTAATTTCAAATGTAACATTTTATGAGGTTTTTTGCTGTCCAAATGTGTTGAAGGGATAAATTGGCAGTGCAGAAGTTTTTGCTAAAGCTTTTGCTTCTAAGGTTCCTTCGTCAAAACTGTAGCACGATGAATAAAGATGAATTAGTGTTTTGATTGAAAATAAATATAAAAATAGATATATGAAAGAATATACAAAGAATTTTTTTTTTGGTTAAAAATAAAATTTGGTTAAAGGGAATTACTGTCTTGATATATATATATAAAATAAAAAATAGATTTTTCTGTTGAAGATGCACTTAAGCGGGACAAGGGCGGCGGTTGTAAAGTGATGCTTTCTCTTTAAAAGCACAAAAAGCAAACAGGGTTCAATAATTGGTGGTTTTATATTTCTACGGTCGACTCGAATTTAAATGCAGTAGTAATTAATAAAATTATATTTTGTTCACTCTAATTATCTTTATCTGTTAACTCATAGTTAAATTTATTAAATACACTTAGACAAAAAATAAACCAAATCATTACTTTTCTAAAGCCACTGACCACAAATATAATAAACTAGGTTGCCAAAATCGGGTTATGGGTCTGGTTTGGATCCAACACAATATTAACTTGCTACTATTTGACACGATTTGAACCCAATCCTTTTTTTGCAAACGGATCATATAATACAACCCGAACCATTCCCGTCGGGTTGCTAAGTTGACCCGACATGAAACAGCCTGCAGCTTGCGAGATTTGGCAAAATAAGCACACGAATGGGAGAACAACGAGCTCGATCTTGTCGTAGTCGTTACTTCCGATCTAACAAAAGAACGACGAGCGAGCTATCATGACTTTCGACCCCACATGAAGGAACATTGTGAAGCATCGAAGGAGAAGTTCCGACGAATCCAACTAGAAGCCAAAGGAACGTCGTCGATGGCACAGTGCAGGTGGAAGAAAAGGAAAAGCAAACATGCCAGCAAACGGGATGGTGACAACGTCTAGTGAGGACGGGACAACTGCAGCGGCCAATTGCACTCGATGAGAAATCGTCACGTCAGATGTGGTCACTCGACCATACGAGATCAGTGTGGACAAGACGGCGGCAGCGGCACAAGCCAGCGTGGATGTGACTCACGTGCGATGTTCCCTGGTTAACATGGGTTGATTTAGAGTTTATAGGTCAACCCGAACTTGACTCGATTTTATAAACCAGTCGAAATATCGAACATGAACCCTGACTCGTATAAAATCTTGTCTGGTTCGGGTTGACCCGAAAACCCAAAATCAACATGTATTCCAATTTTATAAATGTATCGAAATCTCGAACTCGAACCCAACCCAACCCAAATTGCAAACGGGTTGACACGAACCCAAGAAATTTCGGGTCGATCCAGGTAGAGTTTCAAGTTGGATCAGATTTTAACACCCGTATAATAAACGAAGCTCATGGAGAGGTTCAAGTCTTTCGCAAGTCTTCGACATCTGTTTTTCCAATTGATTGTAGAAAATTAAGGATAGCGAACGGTTAAAAAAGTTTTTTTTCCCTTAAATAGTTCATATTAACTTATTAAAAAGCGCTTATTTGATTCCTTCCTAAGCAATACCAAAATAACCAAACAACGCTCTCTCGTTCGCCATCTCTCTCGCTCTCTCGCGACGCCATCTCTCTCGCCCTCTCTCTCTCTCTCTCTCTCTCTCTCTCTCTCTCTCTCTATTGTTCTCACTCTGCCGTGAGATCAAACTCTCAAAGCTAACCGAGAGAGTTGAGAACGCAGAAGCATGGATATTTTAATGAACTTGAGGGATGAAGCGTACACGAGAGTGGTGGACGAACTCTCCGACTTGATTACCAGCGGTGAGACCATAAGAAATGAAGAGGAAAACATCCGGCGATTCTCCGAGCAAATGATCTACGTCAGGGAGATCATCTTAAAGCTTCAATCGCAGCAATCGGGAGGCCAGTTTACTTGTAGTTCCACTACAGCCAACTTGCTCCGCCGGATGGAGATTGCGGTCAACAACGCTCGAGAAACTATCGAGGGATACAAATCCAAAAGCTCGCTCTTACGCTTATTATTCTGCCGCTCTGTCGTCTCCAAGCTGAACCAGTCCTCCAAGGAAATCGCCGACGTTCTCAGCCTCCTTCCCTTAACTGACATCGGCATCTCTCTCAACATTTACTCCAACCTCGACGCAATCATCCATAGCCTAAAGTCCATGGAGCTCAAGCTTGAGGAAAACACCAAGACCATCCACTCCAGGCTCGATCTGTACATCTCTGAGAACAGCGACTCCTCTTTGCCGCCATTGATCGAAGCCAAGGAAGTGAAGATCGGTGAACCGATTAACGAGGCATACCAGTTCACAAAAATGTTAGAGTGCTTTTCTTCAGAGATGGCACCCCCAATCCAAAGGGAAAGGAGTACTGTTGATGAAATTGTGAGCCTTCCGAACATCTTCTTTTACTGTCCCTTGACTCTAAAACTTATGGAGGATCCCGTCAATGTCTCCTGCAACCACAGCTATGAGAGAAAAGCAGTTGAAGACTACTTCCGCTCAGGACATAAATTTTGTCTCCTTTGCAAAAAGGAATTAATATCTTCATCGTTGGGGAAGCTGGAGCTCACACCGAACCCTACGCTCCTCAATACAATATCAGAGTGGAAGCAGAGGAACGCGCTTATCAACGCCGAGAAGAACGCTAAGAAGAAGCTAAGAGATGCAGCAGAAAGAATCACTTTTGACAATATGGAGTCGACAAACCAAGCCCTGGAAGAACTTAAGGCTGTGATGAAGGAAATGCCCAGCTGCATCAGTGAGGCTACGGACAGCTCCTGCAAGCTTGTTCAGAAGCTGGCGGGGCTCCTGAAGAAAAGCGCAGGCGCAGGAAACGCCGGCTTGGTGTTATGGTGCCTCCTGTTCATCGCACGTTTTTCGCAGGAAAACAAAGTAAGAATTTTTAATTAATCTTTGATTTTAATCCGGATGTTTAATTATTTTGGATGATATCCTATATTATAATATGTCTAAAAGTGTAGTAAAATTCTATCAATTTATAATTTTAGTACTTGATTAATAAAATAATCATAATTTTTAACTTCTTTCATTCAAAAATTCAATTTTGATAAATTTTTTGTGAATATTTTCGAAAAATCACATAAATATCAAAAATAAATCTCCATTTTAACTAGTCATTTTTGTGACCTTTAAATGAGAATAAGCAATTCCAGCAAATGGTCGCAGGAAACCATAGCCAGGGGAGGAGTAATTAAATGTCTTTTGAAGCAGCTTAAGACAGAGCCTATTGCAGCAGAGGTCTTACTTGAACTTTCCACAAACGACAGGATTGCCCAAAAGATTATAGAAAACAAGAGCTCCATACCAGTTCTTGTCTCCCTCCTCGACAACCCAAATTCTCATTTGGCAGAAAATGCTCGCGCTGTGCTGAAGAATCTCTCTAACAGTATCAGCAATATTATTTTGATAGCAAAGTCAGGGTACCTCACTCCCTTCCTCCATGAGTTCAACGCGCAAGGTGTGTTACAGCAAGCTCTGATCCCTACCAAAGCCATACTTCCTACGATTATGAACTCATCTCCGGTTTCTACTTACAATTGATGTAACAGGGAATTCTGAGGAGATGAGAGCATTCATGGCTGAAGAACTGGCGAATATGCAGCTAACAGAAGCTGCTGCAAGCAACTTGAACAATGAGAATTTCATCTTTCACATGACTGTAATGCTCACCTCCAGTTTACCAGCAAGCCAATTGGCTTCCCTCAAGTGCGTCAAACGGCTCATGGCCTTCAGTGGAATTAGGATATCGTTTCTGTCGACCGTTAGTATCGTCTCTGCTGTTCTGTGCATCATAATGGACACTGCTACAGAGCAACAGTCAAGGAATGAAGCATTTGATATCCTTATTTCACTCATTGAGACGAGCCAAACATTCGAGCAAGAAAGCTATCCTGGCTTGCTGAGGCTCTACTCCTCCAGCAACATCCACAATTTGCTCGAGCAGATCATTCCCTCTACTCCCGATGATCAAGGTTGGCTGTTGCGGCTTCTGCTTGCAATGTTTCAGAAATCTGATACAGCACGGGATTGGATAATTTCTGATGGGAAGGCAATGAACCATCTCTTCTCCGCTCTTAATCTGGACAAGAACAGCGAGGTAAGATTCAATGCATTGAAGCTGGTATACTGTGTTACAGGGAATTATCCAAACGATGTCCCTCTACCACCTCCTGACAAGGAAACAACATTGAATTCCATTATAGCTATACTCACTAAGAGTTGCATTTCTGAGGAGGTTTCCATTGCTGCGAACATAATTAGTCATCTTCCTCGTGGTGACAAAACTGTGGATGCGGTGCTGCAAAGCTCGACTGTTTTGAAAGCTATTAATGCTCTAATCTCCCATGCAAATAAATCCAACGAATTTTTAGAAAATGCTTTGGGAGCCCTGCTAAGATGCATAGACCAATCGAATTCAAGTTTTCTGATTCAGGTCGGAAAGCTTGAGCCAGTTATTGTGCAAATGCTCTCAACTGGAAGCTCTCTTGTAAAGCTGCGCGCTGCAATGATTCTAACCCATCTAGCTCGGTGCTCTCCTGAATCGTCAAGATCGCTACTTGGCGCATTACATTTTCGCCAGCCGTCCTGGAAAAATGTATTTTTGACGCATTGTACTGTTCATGAATCCTGCTCGCTACAGCGCGTTATATGCCTCGTGAAGGCTGGAGCAGTGAGGCCACTGGTAGATATGGTGGACGCCATGAATCCTGTTGCAGCTGAAGCAGCGTTAAGGGCACTTGAAACTCTTTTTGATAATGGCAATCCGGAGCCTTCTGTCCCTCAATCTATGTTTAATGCAGTTGCAGCTGGTACCATTGTAGAGAATAAAGGTGCAGCGCCGATCCTTGAAGTGCTCGAACGAGGACCGGTTCCTCTGAAGAAGGTGGCACTTGAACTCTTTGAGAAGATCTACAAGCATAGCGATATTACGAGTGGAGAGTTGGAGAAGTTCAAAGCAATACTTTTCTACCTACTGAACGAGGAAGATGAGCTTAAGAAAAAGGCGAAGGTACTGTTAACTGAATTATTCTGAATGATTGTTTATCGTAAGATTCATCTCAGCTAGTTTTTGTAAATTATATAATTAAAAAATTTGTTGAGAAATTGTCTGAAAACAGGTTGGATTTAAGTGAAAGATCTGAAAAAACAGTTTTTGAGTGTCAAAAATTTGATCTTTGTGAATGTATTATCTTCATTGATATCATTGTGTTCTTCCTTTTATGAAACAATCAACATCAGAACAACACAACTACTAGAAAAATCAGTAACATCGATCCCATTTTCTTATAAGTTCTGTGTTGACCTTGTGATGAAAACTTGATCGATTAAATTTTTTTTAAAAGTTGTACATAAAGCACGTAGATCTACGTGTAGAGAATAAACAAAATAAGCTAATCGGCCAGTAGATCTCCCACATCGCTTAGGTTTTTGCTCTTCTTTTATTTCTTGATGTTTGGATGAGGATGGTTTTTTGGTTGACGCTGGGCAAGTTATAGCTAAGGGCATCTTCAATCGAAAACTCATTTTCCTTGCAATTACTCATCTTCAATTGAATTCCATTTCGTAACATCAAAAAAGAATATTTTGAATATATTATTTTTCCAATGAAATAAAATGCTGCTTGTCAACATTGCCACAACAATATTGACGTCGCACTGCAAGGCGCAAATTTTCATATTCAGATCAAATTAAAAAAAAAATTGAAGTATAAAAAAATTATGGAAAATAAAAAAGAAAAAAAAATGATACATCGGCCTTGCTAAAGCTCACTCGCACGTGCCACTGGCACGAGTGTGATAATTTCATGACATCACAAGATTTGGTTTAACCAAATAAAATTAACTAATAAAATTCAAATGTAATATGTAATTATCAAAGTTCGTCACAGCCTATGTCAACGATGTAAAAACCTTAGACTAAAAACGTTACCGTTCACGTACACGCCCCTCTTGACATCTGATCTCCCTCTAAAATATTCTAAATTTTCATTAGAGTCGTTATCGAACCCAGTTGAAGTCTAATAATAATTATTGTTAAGTATTGGGTTAAACACACACGTGGCACTTTACAGCTTTATTAATTCTTGTAAACCAGTTTGTATTTCTCTATATATATAGAGATAACCATCTGTAATAAACAATGCTTTTCTATTCTTTCCTATGCTTCCCTCTGTCAGAACCGTAACATGGTATCAGAGCAGTTTCGGTTCCTGTTCTAAATTTTCTTTATCTCACTCGTTTCTTCATCTTCTTCGTTTCTTTCATGGCTCAATCGTCGTCTACGGCATCCACAAATCAAAGCACGCCGCAAATCTCGACTTCGACTCTGGAGTCTCCACAGATTCCTGCGTCCCTCAAGTTCTTGATGGGAAACATCAAGAACATCGTTGCCCAACCCCTTTCCGCCGATAATCATCCTCTTTGGAGATCTCAGGTTCTCAAACTTTTCTCTGCAAATGGCTATGAAGGGTTCTTGAATGGAACTACACCGGCTCCGCCAAATCTCATTTCCGACAACACTGGCCAGCAAATTCCCAATCCTCAATATGCAATATGGCGCCTCTTAGATCAAAATCTTGCTGCTGCACTCTATTCGGTAATTTCGTCTTCCATTCTCCCTTATGTTCTCTCTGAAACGCATTGTGCCGACATCTGGTTGGTTCTTGATCGGAGACTGCAATCAATCACGCGTTCTCGCATTATCCAGCTGAAACATGAGCTGCATTATTTATCCATGAAAGACAAGTCAATGTCGCAATACCTTCTTGAGGTCAAAACTAAGGTTGATGCCCTCACTGCCGCTGGAGCCCCACTTGCCGTTGAAGACGTTATTCACTATACATTGGATGGTCTCTCGCCGGCGTATCAAGCCTTCAAAACCTCCATCCGCACCAATCTTCAACCGCTTACTCTAGATGACCTCTACACCTTATTGTGTAGCGAAGAACTTAATATTGCTCATGAAGCCTCCCGCGAAATGCAATCGCTGCAACTTTCGGGATCCACAGTGGCGTTAGCGGCAACTAGGGGTCGTGGTCGTGGTCGCTCAAATCAAAACCGTGGCCGACCATCAAACCAAGCTCGTCCGCCAACCAACAACGTCAGCAATAATAATACCAACAGCAATCGGAATGCTCGATCCTCCAAGAACTCTGTAACTTGTCAAATATGTGGCAAATTTGGGCATTCGGCTATCAAATGTTGGTACAGACATGATGATCAGTATACGACCGATCCACCGAACTCTGCCTTGTACACCTCTACGGCCAGCTCTCCTCAACAGGACTGGTTTCTTGACAGTGGTGCATCGTCTCACCTAACTTCGGACTCCTCTCATTTCCAATCAACTCATCCATACACTGGCACAAATCAGGTGATCATTGGAAACGGTCAATCTCTTCCAATTCACTCTACAGGTAAAGGTATACTACCGACCCCTCAAGGTACTATTCGCCTATCCCTGTTACATCTAGTTCCAAATTTATCGTTCAATCTATTATCTGTTCATCGCCTTACTACTGATAACAACTGTGCTATAACCTTCTCTTCAAATGGTTATACTATTAAGGATCGGACGACCCATCGAACTCTGCTCACGGGTCCATGTATTAATGGTCTCTACCCGGTTCAAGTTCGTTCGTCTCCATGCTCGAATACAAGCAATCTGGCGCTTATTTCGGTCCAGCCGGTTCCCGATCTCTGGCATCGTCGACTTGGACACCCGTCCGCTCGCATCTTACATAGTTTAGCTAACACTGTTAAGCACATTTCCATTTCTTTTAAACAGTCCACTTGTAATGCTTGTTGCATGGCCAAAAGCCATCGGTTGCCCACTATTAGTTCTAATTCTGTTACTTCTAAACCGTTTTCTCTCGTGCATTCTGATGTTTGGGGTCCGTCCCCCGTTACTTCGCTTTTTGGATACCGGTATTATGTCTCTTTCATTGATGATTTTACTAGATATACTTGGGTTTATCCGCTATTTCATAAATCTGATGTGTTTGCGAAGTTTCTTGAATTTAACAAAATGGTAAATTGTCAATTCAAACTACACATTAAAACTTTTCGAACCGATGGTGGTGGTGAATTTTGCAATAAACGCTTTGATATTTTTCTTAAGAACCTTGGCATTATACATCAATACACTTGCCCTCATTCACCATTTCAAAATGGTGTTGCCGAACGTAAACATCGGCACTTAATTGAAACAAGTCGCACTTTAATGATTGAAGCCTCTCTTCCTCAAACCTTTTGGGTGGATGCTCTTATGACCTCTGCTTACCTTATAAATCAACTTCCGTCTTCTACTACCTCAAATAAATCTCCTCATGAACTGCTCTTTAACAAACAGCCAGTCTACACTCATCTCAAAGTTTTTGGTAGCCTCTGTTATCCTTGGTTAAAACCATATTCTAGAAATAAACTCTCGCCCCTCTCCTCTCCGTGCGTCTTCATTGGTTATGCTTCGGTTCAAAAAGGCTATCGTTGTCTTGACCCAACCACAAATCGCATCTACACTTCATGTAATGTTGTTTTCAATGAAGCTGTTTTTCCCTATCAAAATCGAACCTCACATACTACAGCTGCTTCTAATCCGACGTCTCACCTTCCCCCTTTACTTCTTGTTCCTACCAGTCCTTTGTCTTCAAATTTTCCGTGTTCTACTGCTCCACGTCGGCCCACTAATCCTGCCAACACGCATAGCCCTGAGTTAATTCCTTCTGCTGAGTTACCTGCCTGCACCTCTGTTTCGGTTTCTTCTCATGACATGCCCTCTGCCATTCCCGATTGTAACACTGACTTGCCGGCTAGCTGTTCATCCTATGCTAACCCGTTCCAAAACTGGGAATTCAAGGCCAAAACACGTATTTGATCTGGCTCATATGATTCAACCGACAGATCCTACTACTTTTGCTCAGGCTATTAAAGATGAACATTGGCGAAGTGCTATGTCCCAAGAGTTTCAAGCCCTTCAGACTCAAGGTACGTGGGATTTAGTTCCTCCAATGCCACAGCAAAATGTTTTGGGCTGTAAATGGATGTTCCGCACAAAGTTTCGCTCAGACGGTTCCATTTCTAGATATAAAGCCCGCCTTGTTGCAAAGGGGTTCAATCAAGAATACGGTATTGATTATCAAGAAACGTTTAGTCCTGTTGCTAAAATTGCTACCATTCGCATTTTTATTTTAATTGCTCTTCATTTTAATTGGTCCATTACTCAATTAGACATTTCAAATGCTTTTTTACATGGTAAGTTACATGACACGGTTTTTATGCAACAACCGCCCGGTTTTCAGGATGCTACACATCCTAATTATGTTTGCAAATTGAACAAGGCCCTTTATGGTCTAAAACAATCCCCTAGAGAATGGTATGCTACTTTATCAACCCATCTACAACAATTCGGATTTCAAATAAGCTCATCCGATCCATCTTTACTTACTTACAACAAAAACAATGTTCGCCTTTACATCCTCATATATGTGGATGATATCTTATTGACTGGAAATTCTGAAACTGAACTTACTCGTTTACTGTCGAACCTCCATAATAAATTTCAAATGAAAAATCTTGGCAAACTCTCACAATTTTTGGGTATCCAAGCGGTATACACCGAATATGGCATTTTATTGCAGCAACAGCAATATGCCAAGCGGATCCTTCAGCGTGCAGGCATGGATAGTTCGAAACCTGTTCTCACGCCATCCTCGGGCAAAGTGGTTCTCACCAAAAATTCGAATGAAGCATTTGCAAATCCACAACTGTATCGACACCTCATTGGATCCTTGCAATACTTAACCTTGACGCGGCCGGACATTCAATTCGCCGTTCATCAGCTAAGTCAATCCATGCATCTGCCTTGTAATTATCATTTCAATTCACTAAAACGGTTGTTACGTTACATACAGGGTACTACGCATGTTGGTATTCCTCTTCACAAAGCGGATCTCAAACTCTATGGCTATGCGGATGCTGATTGGGCAAATGATTCTACGGATCGCAAATCAATTTCCGGTTACTGCAATATGCTCGGCAAGTCCATCATCTCATGGCAAGTCAAAAAGCAGCAGACGGTCGCTCGTTCGTCGACAGAGGCCGAATATCGGGCTCTCGCAGCGGAAGCATCCGAAGTTCTCTGGCTTCGGAGATTACTTGTTGATTTTCATTTACCGTCCACTGCTCCTACTACTATCTTCTGTGATAATACCTCCGCCATTGCATTAGCCAACAACCCTGTTTACCATGCACGTACGAAGCACAT